GTTTGAAATCTTCAGAGTGTTTATGTCTCATTCCTCAGGCCGAATGTCATGCGTGCAAACTCTAACGGTTCAAAAGGTGTAGTAATATGTCTTAAGTATACCTCCATCGTCTACTGATATGTTGTGATGTGCTCCTACCAAATCTTCTTTAGTGAATATGCTCGCATTCTGCAAGTAATCTGCAAGATCTTGGATCTCAGGTATTAGGTACCGATCTGGCGGTTGAGGGATTTGTTATCTCCTCATGGTTTCCAATCACCCTCATTTTTCTTTGGGACCATATTTAAAGGGGTTGCTGGTCAAAATAATTCCAATGGCCTGAATAATACGTTCGATAAAATTCGAGATGTAGCAATTCATAAGTGACTGCCGAATCCATTAAAAATAACACATCGAATGTCTCGACTACTAACTTCAGACGCAAAAATGCCTAAAATCATACACGTCAAGAAGCACAAAGTGGGAGCATTTTGTTACATCAGATTACCATAAAGATTTTGGATGGGAAAACGAATATGGATATAAATATTTTGGTTTCTTTTGGTAAAAACAGCAATAGTGGGCATTGAAGATGGGTGACATGACAACCAACATATCACTTACAAAATCAAGGTTATCAGGATCTGTGATGTGTTGTGTTCAGACAAAGTTGAGTCACTTCAAACAATGCAAAGGTGGTGAGAGTAACAATCCTATCCGACACCCTATTTTCTTTGAAACGCCACACATTCAATATTGTGGTGATTATAATTTAGAAGCAAACGTATGTCGTACCTCAGGATTCGTATCCAATATAAGACCATCAATTCGATACAACGGTAAACTCGATGAGAAAGACAACCCAGCTTTCAGGTATTCACCTAATGATCGATATTATTGATTTCAACAGAAACATACTGAGCAGTAATTACCTTTCCACAAACCATAAAGATTTTTTGCCGTATTCCATGCCATCTGGGAAAGAAACTTTACCTTACCTTACAAATCAACTAGCAAACGAGACAAACGTATCAAAAGTCTTTTCGGTAAACGCATATGTTTCTATTTATAAGTGTACAGACAGGAAACTATTTTTTTGAACAGAAGTTTAAAGATATCTTTACTCCAATACTACCAAAGGGAAAACTTGTACTACCAACAAAAGCAGGTCCTTGTAACATCGAAGACGAAAACTTCCGTCATGTATGTCGTGAATTGACATAAATGATTTCAGGGCCTTAATACATATTCTATGACCGACGTAGTCCATTACAGTCGAATTAAACCAAGACCGTGTAAGTTAAGTGCTGTATCTGTAATCCAACTTTCTCTGAACAGAAAGCTAAGTAAGCCCCTAAATTTATTAGGCGTCTAAATTGTACTTTGTATTCACGTCTACCGTTTGCATACATATCTTATACTTTTAGTTGAAGAGGATATGAGAGAGCTATTTTTCTCATTTTCAGCCTCTTTCCATATTTTTTGTATTCTATTAAACAAATCAATCAAAAAACAAATTTTGCTTTTTTATAGAGCGGTTGTAGCAACTGATTACTTTTGGGAAGTCACAGAGTCCGTGGAGATATGATATGCCCATGGCTTTAGGACTAACGTTCTGTGTTCTCTGAGTCCTTCTAGCCTAGTAGGGGTAAGAAGAAAATGAATGCTAGGTCCAAATCTATTTATTCACATCTTACATACCATGGTTAAATAGCCACGTTGTATAATTTCTCAGTTGCTGAGGACAAAAATAAATATGTCTTTTTATCATTATAGTCGTTGTTACCCATATTTGAGATATGGGTGGAATTATTTAGTAGTTTCGGTAAAAATTGAACAGATTGAAGCTTTTCGATGATTATTTCATATCAGTTACGATTAATTTTTCGCTTATGATGGCAGAAATCAATATTTACACTTTATTAGCTGTAGTCAAGTGATCTCTTCATTTGACCTAAGTTTGTTTGTCTCTCTTAAGTTTTTTTACATCGGCCTTAGACATATTTTAGTTATTCTAATTGTTCGTTTGGGCTTTCTTAAGTCAACTTTATTCTCCACTGATTAAAGTATACTTTAACTTTGTTTAGATGATATAACCTATTTTTAACAAATGCAGCAGTGCAATTCTGAGTTGAATAAGATTCTAAAGTGAAAAAAATTAGAAACGCAGGATAACAATAGGTTTAATTTACAGAGGAAGCATATTTTTAATGATTTTCAGGCCTTGTATTATTCCTCTGATATACTTATAGGGTATCCTTTACAAGTCTATTGGTTCTTGTAAGAATGGGCTTTGGGTGGTGCTCTAAAATTTGAGGTTTTTGTCATTCGCATTTTTTAACAGTTAGCGCAACCTCTATACTAATCGATTATTAGCGCTTATTCCAGGTATTCAATTCAACGTCATAAGAAAGTTTAGGTTGTGATGATTGTCCTCAGGAAACATTTTATCGCCATCACACTTCAAAACAGCCAATAATGAGATTTATCTATCTGATCCTACGTTTCTACTTTTAGTCATACTATTTTGGATCTATGTCTGCTTTCACATCACGACTTCCTGAATACAGTGGAGAAAATCATATCAATTACCTGTCAAAAATGCTGATTCACGTTCTTCAACTTAAAGGCTTACATCATGCCTCCAGGTTTTTTTATGTTGATAATTGACCATGAAGTAAATTTAAACTGAAGTAATGTATCGCTTACTACGTTTTTATCTGAACTACAATTTCTACTCTTTCTTGTTCATTTTTAATAATCCGCTGATTTTGTTGTTAGAAGGATTTCACAATGTTTTTTGTAGCAAGTATATTTTTTGGCTCCATACTGTATCAGTGCTTTGTGCGCCAAACTTCAGAGACAAAACAGATAATCAGTACTTTTTGTTAATTATAATAAACCCAGTTGAACAGAGCAATAGCGGTTAAATTTTGACCAGACTGTTACTTTGGGTAAAAGAGTGTAGCCCAGTTACGGATTACTACAGTAGACTTGCTAGGATATTTTAAGTATCGGTTACGGCTAAAACACCTACAAGATAATGACAATAAAAGGCTAAAGTAATCGTTTTAAATCCATGATCTTACAGTAACGCTGAAACTTTTAACTTGAGTTATTAAATACAAAATATGTCTGATAACAAGTCATTAACCATCAATGCGAGTAAAACTTAATAAAAGGCTAACAGTTTATCGCTCTTAAACTGGTTTCTTACCGCGATTATTTTGCAGCGTGGTATTTCTGAACGTGAACGAAAACTAATCAAGTACGATAAGATTATTTGACTTGTAGCCATGCATTAATACAATTTCTCAACCATCAAAAATCAGAAATTTAAGTGTTGAAAGAACGATCGCTCTAATCAAACAAAATAATATCTGGAGAGTTAATTAGTTACAAAAGCTTTCAAACGAAAATTATAAAGGAGTGAATGCATTTACCATGCTCATACTGATCTTTTCACAGTCTTGTAAAACTACTTAAATCAACGTCTATAATATGTTAAACAATAGTGTTTAATCGCGGCAATGAAATTTATTAGAAAAATGCTTAAGACATATTATAGGCTATATTTTGTTTTTACGACTCATTTTAACCCTGTTATACAACAGACTGTTTAATTAGCGGAGAGCAATCTGTCTTGACAACGTTGTGTTCTCTAGGTGTCGACTACCTTACAAAATAATACCTTTTTGAGTTGATGACCCCACTGCAATAAGTTTTACTGATGTATTGAGTATACAAACGCCCGAGGTTTTAAAGTAAGCGAAACCAATTATTCAGTTTACTTATCATAAATATATAATTTAGTCATTTTCTATGTTATCTTTCATTTAAATCTCATTGTGCTTATCATACACATGTGCTTGAATGCACTATGGACGTTAGAATTGCACTCCTAGATTTTTCCACATTTATAGATATTTTCCATTCGTATTTTTACCAAATAAATTGTTAGTATTTTACACAAAACTTCAGGTTATTTGTTTGGCATATTATTTACCTTCATATAAGCAACTAGAAAATAATTAAATCTATCATAAATCTGAAGTAATCATCGAAATTCTTCTATGTTGATTCAAAATGAAAGTTCATTTTTTTATCGACAGGTTGATTTTTTTGTTAAAAATTTGTATTTATTGAACAATACTTGAAATTTGTTGTGAGAAATCAGAGATGACTAGTTATCTTAAAGTTATTCCGTCTGCTACAATCATGGACAGACGTCAAACTTCACTTTCATTTCTGACAGTGTCAATCTTTTGTTTTTTAATGTTAGAACTTTAACCTTCCGTATATTTCAGATGATATGTTCAAAGTTACTGTCGGTCGTAAGAAAGAATCTGGATCTACTAGTAGTATAAGCAACTTTAATGTAATCAGCAACCGTTTCAGATACTCGTTTACAACTGTTCAACCAGGTCGGAAAACTGATAGATTAGCAGGCCAAACTGCTTATATGAGTGATTTTAGACCTTTTTGTTATAAAAATGGTTCTGAGCTTTTCTCAAATTGGGTAGGCAACTTATCGCACCAGGAGCCAACTGATTATGTTATTCAAAATAAAATTTGGCCTGAATACAAAAGTCATCATTCATATTATGTAAGCCATTGGTCTTTTAGAGGTAACTTTTGTTAAATAATAAACCGGATAGTCAGTAAACTAAGACACGGATTGTTTTTAATCGTGTTAATGACTACGATGGGGAGACAAATAAAAACGTAGTATAAACCACAGAGGTGGTTCGAGAAAAATGGTCAAAATCTACAATGAATCTGGAACAGAGAAATCAGCAATAGATGATCAACAATGAACAAAAAAGGACTATTAGACAAAGGAAACAAGTCCATTTTAACAATATCTTCGAATGGGTTATCTGGCTAACTGTCGTTAATCCTTAGTAACATTACCAGTAGTTTTCAACCACTGATTTAAAAAGCCTCAAGTAATACGATCAAAACGCATTTATCTCTCTACACAAATTACACTGATGGCCATTTACTTTATGGTAACATCTATCTACATTATTGTATGTTACATACTTTAAATTTATTCATATTATATGAGTTCACTACTGTCGCATTTTCCTGCATATACAACGAACTATCTCGAAGTTTAAAGATTCTAAACGGTTACCAAATTTTAACTGAAAACCTCTTTACCTTTTTTAGTTTATTTTGTCTTAAGTATTCACTGACTAAAAAGGTTAGATATGGATAGATTGTAAAGATATTTTATGTTTAGCTTAAAAAATAGTATTCGAATTGAGGAAAATAAAATAAAACCGAATCGTTGGTATCAAATCGCTATGACAGTTTGGAAACCTTATTAGTAAGGGTGCAAAGTTTTCCATCTTTTATATCAAGGACTGCAATCTATTGGTCTCTATTACCATATGTGAATTCTTGAAAGATTTTTCCAGCACTTCCTTTTCTATTTAAAATGTTGATATACTTAGATTCTAACTAGCAGTGTAATCCAGAAGGTTTGCTTTATCCTACTCAATATCGATCAGCTGAACGGACCTGGATTGCTGTACTGATATTCATATTGGAACTTGAGCCCAGTACCTATCACTTCAAGCGCTGAGTCACTCCATAGATCAACATCATTGTTAACCCCACATTGGTCTTGTAATTGAACGGTACTGGCTTTGATTCTCAGTGTAAACAACAGAATGGATAAAACTGTGTTCAGCTTAGTCATCCAATACGAAATTAATTGCAATACCTGGTTTCCACTGCCAACCACAATCCATTCAAACATGAAAGTCTGGAAAACTGTAGTTCTTTGTATTTCAAGAAAAAACTCATAAAACACTTCCTCTATCTCTTGTCAGGAGTCTTGAAAGCTTTAGCTGCAATTGATGCATTTAGAGTTGTAAGGATAATAATATTTGTCAGCCAAGACATTCTTCATTTTATTATATTACTGCCAAACACTTGATTCTGGAGGCTACTTAAGACATGATGGTATAACAATAATAGATGCTGATAAGATCAATATTAAATAACCTAGTTATTCATTCTTTCGCCATTAAATTATTTAGATATTTAAGCACTCTGAGGATTTTCCAGAAGTATATTTGGAAAAGTTAAAGACGAATGATTCAGCCGAATATCAAAGTGCTACTCATAAATCCAAAGAACCAAGGTAAAACATATTTATTGTTTTATTTATTATTCTTATAATTACATCTCAGTAAGCTAAAAACTACTGCTATTTGATAGCTTACCAGCTAGTTTGATGACAAACTGGGTTTGAAAAACTATTGTTCTGGAAATTACGACCACCTGCGACTAGACTTAAAAGCATATTTAGAAATGATATCAAGAATGTTTTCATATCGTTATGCTAATTGTCCACTTTTTAAAACAAACTCATTAAACTTGGTAGCTGTCTAAAAATCAGTAAATTATTTGACCATTCTTCTTTATTCATATATAAAGCGCCTAAGCAACCACTTTACAAGGCAGGTCCGTGAAATAGTAGTATACCTACTCTGCCCTTAGTTTAAAAATAACGAGTATTGATCTAGTCTCTAGCTGTCAAATAATGTGCGTTTTAAAATCTTGCACATGAATCTGGGCTTTGCTATCATGTTGAGTTGGCATGGTAAGCCCCGATATCTTTGTAGATAACAGTTAAAGATACATTGTCCTTCGGATGTCCGCTAAAATAAGTCAACTAACTCAGAGCTGTTGTCTTTAAATCTAGTTTACAGTGATGCCTAATTTCTGAGATGTAACTCAGATCCCGCAATCAACATTATTGGGTTTAGCATTCTGTAAAGTTAAATGGAAATTTATTGTTTGGTCTTTTGGTGTATGACGAAGAATTTTTTTTTGCAGTTGCACTGTTAACTAAGACATCGTTTTACCCAAGAAAAAGTTATAAATACATCGTTTCAGAGTGTTACTAGGCGGCATATTATCAGGTTAACATCCAGCGAGCAACATATTATAAGTTAATTAACTATTAACTATTTTGTTATCCCGACCGTTGTTGCTACCTTGACGTGGTGGTCGGGCCTGCCTATCGTGATGAAGCAACCGAGCTATACTGGCTGGAACAACTGTTCCTCAAGGTCCTACCATGTTAGACAGGTCGGTTGAAGAGCGGTAAGACTAAAAGCAACAAACCCAAGGTCCGAAGGCGAAGTCGTACTGCTGACTGTACAGAGGTGTGACAGCAGTAAGGTGTTTCCTTCAGACAACCAGCATGACAGCGATGCTGCCTTCCCACAAGGAGGGGTGGGGTTAGAAAAGGTCGACCCTAAAAATGCACACCTCGTCTTATCCCACGGATATCCGTCTCCGGCGGTAAGGCCCTTTGAAGAACGGAGCTAACATGTCAAAAACCTCCCACGAAAAGGCCATGCACGACCGGCCTCAAGCAATTGTCCCTTGGGCACTGCGGTCACGCTCTCAGGTCACTGAGACCGCCACTAATTTAATTTCCTTTTCAGGTACCTCCAGAAGAACCCTTCCACGGTGTGGGCAACCGGGAAGTGATAACCGCCCTCATACCTCTAACAGCACCCAAGACCACTGTATTCCTAATCAACCTCCGTTTTCAATTCCTATTATTCCTCCTACATCGACTTTCAACCCTAAACTTCCTCCTTCGACTTCCTCCTCAAGTGTCACCATAGCCAACGATTCTAGTGCTCGAAACACTGTCCCAGGTCTACTGAAACCTCGCTCCAAACTACACATTGGAGCTTTCAACGTACGCACTCTATGTCAAATCGGTCAGCAGGCTTCCTTGGCTAAAACCCTAGAGTCTCTTTCCATTGATGTATGCTGTGTCTCTGAAACACGCATACAGGATCCCAGTGTGGTCATTCACTTGACCTCACCTCGGCAAAACGGAGAGCCAACGAGATACACCCTTCGTGTATCTGGTGACCCGATGGCCAGTTCTCGTGGACTGGCAGGTGTAGGCATAGCACTAAGCATGATGGCCGAACAAGCACTGCTAGAGTGGATCCCCGTCAACAGTCGTCTATGTGCTGTTCGGCTAAACGGCTCCGTAAGAACTCGGAAGGATAGGGACACACGTCGTTGCCTTTTCATCGTTTCTGCCTACGCTCCCACTGACTGCAGCTCAGATAATGTGAAAGATGAATTTTACAGAAAGCTGTCCGAACTTCCTCAGAAAGCTAAACGCTCAGACATAGTACTCGTAGGGGGTGACTTTAATGCTCAGATAGGTAGCTTAAACCAAACAGAAAGGCAATTAGGTGGATATTTTAGCATTCCGGCACAGCGAACAGATAATGGAGACCGTCTGCTGCAACTGTGCTCAGACAATCGCTTATTTTTAGCAAACACAAATTTTAAACTTAAGGAGAGACATCGTCTAACATGGCGACCGCCTGCACCAAGCCAACGATGGACTCAAATAGACCATATTGCCATCAGTCATCGTTGGAGGGGGTCGGTACAAAATTGTAGCTCATTCTGGAGTACCTGCTTGGACTCCGACCACTCCCTAATACGGGCACGCATCTGCTTGCGCCTCACTGGACGCAAAAAAGCCACACTAAAAAGACCCATTAAAACTGAATTGAGTAGCGAGAAAACCAAAAGTAGGTTCCAGGAGCAACTGAGGTCACGATTAGGTAGTTCTGAAGACGAGGCTGACCCAGTTGTTGCTTGGAAAGCTATAAAAACAGCTGTGGAAACAGCATTGACATCTACCAGTGATTTAAACCACAGGGTTACAAAGAACCCATGGATTTCCTCAAGGTCTATTGCACTGATGGATTCTCGTAAACTCATCCCATCAGGCTCTGAACACGATAAAGAGCGAAAGCAGATCAGATCTTGGTTAACCAACAGTCTAAGGAACGACCGTCAGCGGTGGTGGGCAACGAAAGCAAAAGAGATGGAAAATGCGGCGGCTATAGGGAACACAAGACAGCTCTATAGACTAATAAAAGAAACTAGAAACACTCATCTGCTCCCAGTCCAGACGTTTAGAACGATGGGCGGAACATTTCAGAGAACAGTTCAGCTGACCTTCAGCTACTCTACAACTACCCTCCATTCCCAGACAGTGTGAATGGAACATTGAAGTAGGTCCCCCAACTCTTGCTGAAGTTCAAAAGGCTATAGTTAATCTGAAACGAGGAAGGGCAGCTGGTCCAGATGGATTGGCTCCAGAGGTCTTTAAGGATGGTGGTCCAATTTTAGCGATCAGGTTGACTAATATTTTAGCTAAAATCTGGGAGTTAGACGTTATTCCATCTAACTGGTCACAATCACTTATCGTCCCAATATATAAGAAAGGGTCAAAATCATCCTGTGACAACCACAGAGGGATTAGTTTAACTAATATAATATCTAAAATACTAGCCTCGATAATTATCAGACGCCTAACTAAGGCTCGTGAACTGCAAAAACGAGAGAACCAAGCTGGCTTTAGACCTGGTCGTGGCTGCATCGACCACATATTCACCATTCGTCAGATTCTAGAACACAGGCATACTTATCGGCGTCCGACAATAGTGGTCTTTCTCGACTTAAAAGCAGCATTTGACTCGGTAGACCGCGAGATTCTGTGGCAGTGTCTGTCATCGAAAGGCGTACCTCGGAAGTACATAAACCTTGTGAAGGCTCTTTACTCGAACACTACTAGTCGAGTCAGAGCTTATGGCGAACTGTCATCTACTTTTGCAACCTCAAGTGGTGTCCGTCAAGGCTGTCCACTTTCCCCATTTTTGTTTAACTTCATCATAGATCTACTGATGGAAATAACATTCTCGTCTACTGAATTCTCGGGTATTGATCTCCTTCCAGGAGGTCCACTTATCGACTTAGAATACGTAGATGATATAGTCCTGTTTGTTAAAGACGCTGATAGAATGCAGAGTCTTTTGGTAGCACTAAGCAACAATGCCAGAATGTTTGGAACGCGCTTCTCTCCCTCTAAATGCAAGCTGCTGCTTCAGGACTGGTCTCTGTCAGCACCTGAACTAAGGATAGGGAGTGAAGTAGTCGAACGCGTCGACAACTTCACTTATTTCGGAAGTCTGATCAGCCCTAATGGGTTGGTGTCTGACGAAATCTCAGCACGGATTCGAAAAGCTCGCTTGGCTTTTGCCAACATACGTCACCTATGGCGAAGGCGAGATATCCGTCTATCAATTGAGGGACGAGTATACTGCGCGGCAGTCCGTTCTGTTTTAATTTACGGCAGCGAAACCTGGCCATTAAGAGTATAAGATACTCGTAAGCTACTAGTATTTGACCACAGATGCCTCAGAGATATTGCTCGTATCTGCTGAGATCACCGAGTAAGTAATAGTGCGGTTAGACGCAGACTATTAGGGAATGATGGTAAATCAGTTGATGAGGTTGTGAATCTTCATCGAATGAGATGGTTGGGTCACGTGTTACGTATGCCTGAACACCGATTACCACGACGTGCAATGCTATCCGGTGATCGGGATGGTTGGAAGAAAGTTAGGGGCGGCCAAACCAAAACGTGGCATCAGTGCCTGAAGTCACTAACTTCTAGTCTGAGCCATGTTGGTAGATGCAGACTACTTGGTTGGGGTCCGCGTGACTATCGTAACCAATGGTTGGAGACTCTTGGTGACAGGGCTCAGAATCGATCACAATGTCGTCGGTGTATACACTCCCTGTCTTCCCTTAAACTAAGAGATTAAAATCACTTCATATCTTTCTTTCTACGAACAAATTCTTTCTTCTTGTACTATATCTCTATATGCAATCTTTCTCTTATATATTACTACCTTTGACTTAACCACTGCTATGAATCCGGTGTTCATCTTGTTGTGCTGATGCGGTATGGCAACCTGGACCGATGCACATATGTGCCTGGTCCTACGTTGTAGCTGACTGACTGACTGACTATCCATTATGACGACTTGAAAAAATTGTACCCTGTTTACGCAGAGAGCTAAATATGTTGATATTTTCTCTTGTTATTACTTTGACATTAATATAAATAAATACTGAATGGTGTAACATGTATGTGATTGTATCTGCCTGTCACTTGTTAATAACCAATCTCATGATATCTGGACATTGGTAACCACAAAGTTAAGATTATATGTCTTATTGTAAACCATTTCACGCTGTGTGAGTGACATGGTGGTGACCTTTTTTATTATAACGCTAAGTAAAGTAGATCCAAATATCTTCGAGATAGAAAAATTTTAATACACGTTATTGATGTAATTTACTGGTGCATGTTTACAGGTATGACGAATCGTCCCATGGGTTCCCAATGACTGTTCAAAACAATGTGTTAAAATATGTTCTGTATGATAATGTAAACTGAATACAATGTAGAAGAAAAAGGATTCCAAGTTTCAGATTTGTAGACAAACGGAATTTTCAGAAATAGATCTAGCTTACGCAATTATCACTTTTCATGACCAACTAAACTATTTTTCTGGTGATTTTGGTAATAGGAATGACCATAGTTTGGCTGTTTTTCATTCATAGGTACTTTGAAATTAATGAAGAAATTCCATCGCTTATAAGAACAAACCATATATTAGCACTGGTCTGTTTAAAAATTCCCTAAAAATCAATGAAATCTCCTGGTGAATATTTACATTAAAAACAGTTTTTTTCACCTCACCAGATTAAATTGAAAGTAATCTACTGCAAAAAGTTGTAAACTTTCACCCATACACTTTCAGTTTATTATCTTGAAGAGAACAACAGCAAACATTTGAGGAGAACACGATGAACTAATTTTATTTTGCTAGGGTGTCGTTAGCTATTTACATACTATAAAATACTTTAAAATCAAAATCACCATATAATTAACTAAATTATACTGGAGAAATCAGTCAAAATTGAATAAGCATCGTTGTAGTGGAGTAAAGATTGCAATTAAGTTGACGAGTTTGGAAAATGTTGCAAGTCAATATACTGTCCAAATAAAGATCACAGAGTACCAAAACAGCTACTAAAGTTCATAGAACTAAAAATTCACTTAATTGCGTAATGAAATAATCGAACCCAGGTTAATTGCAGTATAGAATAACATGACTTGAGATGTCATTCATTAGTAACATCATGCATGTAAAAAACCCAAGAATAATGCTATCAAAGTGTGAGAAAAGTTTACAACGTGATGTAATAAAATAATCATATTGTTGCCACGATAAAGAATGCTTCACGTCAGTTTTCTTTTGGACACATTCATCTGTTCTTAGGTGCTTGATGGCTATGACTTCAACAAATTTCAGAGCACTGTCTATTAATCAACTTGGAAGATTCAAATAGATCAACCTGTCGTCCTACGTCGAAGATTTATAATGAAACAAAACTACTGAAAGCCTTTAATAGGTTTGACCTCAAACTTTTAGGAATGCTTCCTTAAAATCGAGAGTATCCCTGTGGTATTTGCAGTCCTACTGGTTATGTTTAGAAGCAAGAACCACTTCAATCCCCACAACGCAAAATAAAAAATAAAAAGAATGGAACAAGTGTACACTCATTAACTGGTCAAAAAACACTACCTTGTTTTTACTTTGAGGTATAACTGTCGATCTTTGGCTTCGTTAAAAAAACATGTTTTGTGCGAGACCATTAGTTTGGCTGCATGATACGTGTTTAATTAAGTAAATTGAGCCCAGAGTTTTAAGAAGTGTCATTAATACGGGATTTGGTTAACATCTAAAAATATCTCAGTTGCTTGCTATCTTCGTACTAGTCAGTTGAATACATTTTGCAAAGAGTTTTTTAAATAAATTAAAAAGCTATTTACAACCATCAGCATCCAGATGTATTACTTCTTAGTTGTAACTTACGTCTTATTATACAGTTACATCTTATATCACTGATTTTCGTTGGGGTACGGGAATAACCATTCAAAAGTATTCTAATCAACCGCCCGATAGATATCAGTCATATGTTCCTCAAGGTATATTGTCTAACCAAACTTTTCCTGTTGATGTTTGTAATGAGACAATCAAGCCATACAGTTGGTTTTGAGTTCTACACATAACAATGTAAGTAATGTATTTCGTATAAAATTCTGAACTAGTTTTCTATAATATGCATACATTATACTGTACAACCATTCGTCAAGCATTTTAATGACATCAGTCTTCATATTTGCTTATATCCAATAAATTGACAAACGCTCTATTGATTTTCGAATTAATAACGGCAGCAGAATGGATTGTGATTTTGTCCACCAAACTCTGAATGTATAATCTCTGCATATTTTGATTCAAGTGATATATATTCAGAAGAAGCTGATTACATTTTCAAATGTATTTTAATGTTCTAAGTCACCATAAAAAATTATCACATGCGTACTATGTAATTTTATAATGATTGTTTTAGTGAATTCAGGTATAATTCGTTTCTAAAAATTGCCTTTTAATGTACATAAGTGGGTTGGTCAAAGTCTTTTAAGACATGCTAAGTGACATGGGTCTGAATTGTATTTTTGCTGAAGGAGACAAGATATTCTGCTTATAACGGGTGAAATTCATTATAAAAGCTGAATATTGTTAGGAAACAGTATTTGAATAAATATGAATTAAAATGCTATGAAATTTCTGTTGATGGAAAGTGTTTTTCGTTTCCTCTATTCTACGTCATCATTTAGATTTACCTTCTCTCTTCTGTAAACTTATTTTCATGTGTAAGATTATGAAAAATATGTTGTTTTTTAAATATAATTTTAGTATAACAAAGGGCTCACAGAATGATTTACAAAATCAACCTAAATCATCAGCTGAACTGTTAGGTAGAGTGACCATCGGTCGATTAGAACCGAGTGGTTCCGCTTTGAATATTTCTGGACATGTTCAAAGTCAAGATATGCCACTGGATCGTTTTATAACACACAACATGACTAGAGTAAGTGATTATTCGATTTGTGACAGCTAACTTGTGGCATTTTGTCTTTAAACTCCCTGAGTAATATATATATAGGGTACATAATGTTTGGAAGTAGCGAGACATTTATATTAAAAGTTATCAGGCTGCTGAAATCCGAAATAAAATGGCCTCACTCTTCTACAATGGAACATGTTTTATGTCGTTATATAGATTAGTGTTCTCCAGCCAACCACTTTTTGTAACTTGAAGGTGTGAGTCTCGAAAACAATAGCTTCAAAGTACGTGAGCTATTTCATATATTCTTGCGGAACCTATCTATGTTGATGGTTTGTATTCAAAATGCTTAGCTATTTAGTCATAGATTCATCAACAGATCAATCGTCGAATATTTTAACGTTGATCACTCGAATAAAACAGGCTATTCACCCAGACACACCTTCATGTCCCGAATTAACCAATACAGGATAGTGTTCCTTTATATTTTTTTTACAGATGAAGAGTCTCAACGTATGTGTTGGGTCTTTATTCTTACCATTTGTCTTAGATTTAGCCGAACAAATCATTCCCTTTTTCATACTGTTAAATCCTCATTTCAGTACCGCAAAAAACAACCATACGCTGGACTCATTCTTAATAATTCTCATAAAACACTAAATTAATTAATTCACTAGTTCTTGATATCTAATAACAAATGTCTTCTATAGAGCATGATCCTCTGTTTATCTCTCGAGGACTATCTAGTTAAAGTTATAACAACGAGTCGCACTAGTCAAGTTTAAGTTATGAATATCAAGGTCACAGGACACAAATAAAGAACATTCTGACTGTGGTCTGATCCCCGCTGATTTCAGTGATGATTTCTTAATAAATTATCTGCAGGCCACAACGTTTTATGAAATCTCTTCTACACTGCAACGAATGGTACAAAAGAATTGTACTGAGTTGATAAGTAGTCCATTCATCTACATTGGAAATTTTTACAAAGGCTAGTTTGAGAGCTTCAAATAACGTGGTTTCTAACCTTCATCTATAACCATCAAGAACGATATTGAACCAGAGATAAAAATGTATTCAGACTACTGGAGAGTATAAGTGTCGCGCTGGTTGAGATATGATCACCATATGATTGTTTGCAACTCCTTTCCCAGTGGTGCATATGAACAATGTTCAAATAATTAGATTGCGCGTAAAAAACTAACTTCGAAGCTACAAAGCTTCAACAGCGAACATGATTTTGAGTCATGTGAGTGAACTCCTATTATTTAGTTATTTATTTATTTGTTTAAACGCATAAACATAAGTACAAAAAGGCACCAAATGGATATGCACCGCATAAATCATTCGATTTGTGTGAGGGCTAGGATACTGCGCGGTTGCACAAACTGAAACGGGTTGAACTCCTATAAGGAACATATTTCAATTTCAAAACAAAAGAACCACTAAATAACCCTGAAAAATCCTTTACCCCTACAAGAAAGATACATACATTTTAATGGTGTTTGTTCTCCAAAATACATTATTCTTTTTACACTTAATTTCTGATTGGCTGAAAAGGCAGAGAAGCTTAAGGTATTTTTAAGAGTTCAAAGTTCCTTCTTACACTGTAATTTTATACACATCTGGCACATAAAATGCTCGATATTTTTCAAGAAAACCATCAAAAGAAGTATACATTCCTTAGTTTGATGAACAGACATGAAGTAGCTAGGTTATGTGTATGCCTATGCATATACTTGTCTATTCATATTAAAAAAATCAAATAACAGATTTTTCACAATTCAGTTGCAATTTTTATACAGTATGTATATTTCAGTAATTTTTTTCCATTTAAATTTTGCAAGTTCTACTACCCACCACCTGGCCAAGGTGATGGAGACCGAGGACATATTCTCTTTAATACACAACCTCTCAAAGAAACAGCGACTTCAAGATCAGTTAGACTACATTATCTTGAACCACAAACGCCATCAACTGATAAATTGGGTACCGATGATCCCTACCAATCAAAGTAAGCCTTTTTAATTTTATTCAAAAAATTCCCTACAAAAATACTAAACTTCATGAATTACAATTGTAAACATTATTCACTCGAAATAATCCAAACTGTGTTTTGTCACAAATCATACTTTCTAACATACTTTATATCTTCAAACGTTTACACAGCTAATTCTGATCTCTTCACTTAAAACCTTTTAAAAGTTTAGAAGTGAATTTTCTTAGCATCATATTCCTTATGTCACACGAGTAACACAAACCAGCTGAGTTATGGTTACAATAGTATAAATGAGAAATCATATGCATTTGTTTATCTTATCACTATATAAAAACGATTGAACTATCAAGAGCCTTACTCAAAAACCTGGAACTCATTTGACGATGTACAAATGTACGAAAAGTCTACTGACCACATTTCTAAATATCTGTTTATTGGCAGGCATTAAGGTAATTAATATTCCGTTAAAGTTAAAGGTACAACCCAGACCAAGTGAGACGTGTTTAAAATATATTCAGTCTGACTGGATAAAGCTGCAGCTACTGCAGAAGCATGACTTCAATGACAGACGTGATTTCGAGGATCATATAAAAAATTTACACCTACCAGTTGAACAATAGAAATATTAGTTAGTAATTAGACTATTTTAGATAACGTTTGTTGGGAGACTGAGTCTTATAGACAGGGTTGATAAGTAAAGCTGAGGAATGTCGTCAGTTACTACTGAGGCTAAATTAGTCGTTACCAGGTAATTTAATCGACTGAGTTGGAGAACCAAACTTTTGACTAGGTTTCAACTTTGCTCCTTGTTTGGTTGTATGTGGACGTTAAGCATCTCATTTTTTATGATAATGTTAATCTGTTCTACCACAACACCTTTTTTTGTTTCCAGAAGTATTTTGGCAAGAGATACACTTCTCAGACGGACGACGAATAATATTATGTGAATTTCTATCTACCATTACTTTTTAGCCAAAAGAAATAAACTGGTTTACTGTTCTAAAACGTTTTCTGGTATATTTCTGTCACTGACGGTAAACAGGTAGTATACTAACAATTAATACCCTCGATTTTCAAAATGCCTTGCACTATAATAGTTTCTGAACGAAATGAAAACCGAAGGAGGTTTCTTCTGAATTTTTTAATTAAAATCAAGAAAGGAAAACACTAATATAACTCTATACATATTTGGAGTTCTATGTGTGACATGATTATAATTCTTATGATTTAACTAGTTCAGGACGTTTATGAAATCCTTTGCCGCAAGTGTGCCATGGATGTTATTTAAACCATTTTCCTTCCATTAAGAAAAAATGTAGTTCAGTGAGGAGGTAAATACATAAAAGTAGGATGATCACAACTGAACAGTAAATAACTAATGTTCCGGAAAGAATTACAGGTGTCCCAATTTATATGCATGGTCAGGTTGATAAGTAAAAGAATATAAAGTATAAATGACAGACATATAAGGGTAAATTGTTTGAAAGGACGTAGTTGATAAATTGTTTTGATAGGAGATTTATTACTGGTATTATAACAATGTAAAGCGGTAATTCGAAACCAATAATTTTCTCAGGAGAAAGACTGGGACGTCATGTTATATTTAAGAGTTATCTCAGTCTCGTTACAGGGTATTCATAGCTATCTACAACTGGTGAGAAGAAAAAGAAAACAAAGGGGAAGGAGAACGTTTGCTAAAACTATTGTGATAGGTTTATCACTATAAATTTTCTAGTTGGTTTTTTAATCTAATGATTTGAATAAATTTTATTTGAACCAGTCAACTTAGCCAGGGATGGCGTAAGGGTAAAATATCAACAAGGAAGAAAGCTCAATAAGTATACTCAGTAATGACAATGGTCAAAAGTTTACTGTTTCCATAATCTCACTAACGAAGTAAGATGTAGTCAGTGGTGTAAGCATTCTCAGGGCCATTTCAGTGAAGCGGTAATCATCGATATAGTGTGCAAACTAAGATTGTAATTTTTTCACGGATTGTTGGAAATTATTCCAGGGTCTCGAAATCTACTCGCAAAGTAATTCATACAGAGATTTAGAATGAAGCAATTTTACTTTTGATGGAAGTTACGAATGTTATAACTAGGTGATTCTTCATCATGGATCCCATCAGTGGATATGAAAGACGACATATTGAATATTTTGGAGAAAAATATTAGATTCAGTCTAAGTCGCTACTTCCATAAAGATTTAAGTCATAATTTAATGCATCCGGATATACATTTTAAGGTACAATCACTCCCGAAAATACGGAACGTAAGGCCCCGCTAGGCGGATAACATTTTGAGTTTATCTTCTATGCGAATACTACTGAGAATAAAGTACAGTATTCTAGAATTGATGGGACGTATACTTTGTAAAGTGTTATAGAAGTTGTATTATTTACAGCCCAGAAGTTGCCAAGACTTGGAGGTCTGCGTTAAGATTTTCTCTAAGAAGGGCGAACCATGAGAATATCTGAGTCCCAAGTCTACCAATGAATGGAACCAAGATAGTACTTTACTGTCTTTGGCGAAGCTGAAATCTAGAAAAGGACTATCAAAACGAATCCACTCACATTTTGCAGTCCCAAGTTCTAAGTTCCACTTCCAGCACGATAAGGTAACCTTACTGATCTTCTTACTGATATACTTTGTATATGGCGAAGCTTGTGAAGAGAAAGTGAATCATCTATGCACAGGAGGGGTTTAATCTTCCTGAGGCATTCGGAGATATCATTTATATTAGCTATGAAGAATATATCAAAGACTACTTTGTATTACATTACTTGTGCCTGGAAGAGAATCCAATAACTTCACCTTATAATTTTTTTACATTATTCTAGAGACAAATGAAGTAGTATTAACTGTCCCATAGTTGTCCAAGTTGGTCTTACCTTCAGATTTGTAACGTTTTGTTATATTTGTGGTATTCCACCGGTTAGAATTGGCCCTTGTGTTCAAGACAGTGTAGAAAGTTTTAGGAGAAGTAATGGAATATCAAGTTCACCTGAATACTCAGTGACTAACTGAAACCTTAAGGAAGGTTGTAGCTTTACTAATGTTGAGATAAGTGACAGAAATAGATTCCATAAAGCTACTAGTCATGTCCGTAACCTTTGCTCCACCCTTTTTCATAATTGTTCACAAAACACAAATGAAAAGGCTGGTTATGTTTATAGAATTACTGATAAATAGATCATTATAGAAGATTCAAGAGATATCTACATTTTTAGATGCACGAACGCGTTTGTTGAAAAGAGGAACTGAGTTTCGCACTTCTAAGCTATTGTCAAAGTACTAAGAAATCTTCATCACTTGGCTTGTAAACTATGAGCTTTTTATTTGGATAAAATTTATAATTATTTGTACAACTGCTGGAAAATCATTCAACTTGATGTAACATTTCTGCAAGCGTTTAGTTTATTGCGATGCCTAACTTTTGTGGATAAATCATTTGACTTAATAGTTCTGTATGTTTTTACTAGTGCAATGGAATCCAGGCAAGAATTATTGATTAAGTAACATATGTCTAGTGCACCTTCTGGACTATTACTAGAGAAGAAGCTACTCTAATCTGAACACTTTAACAGGGTTTGCAGGAAGTCCCAGTTGTCACTTTTGTAATCCCAGTATTAACTGATTTTTTGTAAGAGAAGGCTTTTATTAGGGTTGATAATGATAATAATGGAATCGATGGCCGTTTTATGATCACTACGTTTAAATTCTGTGTTTACGTGTACAGATAGAGAAATAATATCTCCACAAAATCCAGGCTGAAGGTGTCCGAAGTATAAATGACGGTCTGGCTAACACGGCTCTGGATTTTAAGGTCGAAAATTTACTTAGAAGTGAATATGTATTGATAAGTAGTAATTATTCGTATTCCACACAGCTTCGTAATGATTCTAGGATCTCGTTATGTTATCAACCTACCTAGTGGTGTAATCAAAAACGTTTAAACACATCAAACTTTTAAGTCCGTATGATTTTGTATACTGATCTGCGGCAAACATATTCATATGTTACAATGTAATCATAGGTAATTATTTATTTTGACATAAATGTCACTGGTCAAATATTTCATTCTAGAATCGTTAATTACGAAGACATTACAGAAAAGAGTTTGCACATTAATGGTTTAATTTACCTAAAGTATAACTCGTTTCCATAATCATTAAACAATCATAATTGACTCACGAATATGAGGTAGCAGAATTCACAACTAAGTTTCAATATCTCATTATCGACTTCATCTCACCAACATATGTCTTTAAATTATATTGATTATGCTAATTATTATAGCTTTCGACATTAACTCTATGTTTGCTAATCGAATCTATACCTTGGTTACGCAGTTAAAACAACTATTTGTTAATGATAACTTATCACCAATAATAATATAGTACGAAAATGATCTTTTTAAGTTGATGTTGTGATCGTTAGTCTCATTTTTGGTGTATTTTCAATAGTTAAAAATCCAATGATATTATAATGCAGAATCAGTCATATATTTATCCAAACTCTGATGATCTTGTTGAATCTCTAATGACTTCTAAATGTTCCATCGCGAAATTGTCGAGAACTGCAATGATGCTGACTACCTCGACGAATGATATACTTTTTAATACAGTAATGAATTCGCACCTGAAAATGTACTTAATTGCCATGAATTCCACTTTAATATGCATCACATCTGTAGATAATCAATGAACTTATAGAAACCTGCACTAACAGTGTTTATTACTTTTGGATATTCTTCGGCGAAGTCTACGACCATTTCCACACCACATAATATGTTTCTGCGCTGAACCAAAATCCAAGTTGTTCTGGTTGCTCCAAAAAATATACAACAAGAAAAATGCACAAACTACTGTAAAGTCTTCATATATATCTTAAAGTTGATGTCATTACGACATTTTATGGTTTTTCCACAAGGCACACGAGTACTTTTTTCGGTTTAAATAGATATTCACCTGGTTAATCAATTCTAAACTAGGAAAGTTTATTGCAATTGCTTACCATAAGTTTGAACAAGATGCTGCGGACACCTTATTTTAAATTACGTGACCAAAATACACTAATTAATTGACCATTTCCTGAAAAACTAATGAATTTCAAGAGGAGTAAACAATTTAAAATAACATACTTTCAAAGTAATAGTGTACATTGATTTGATTTGTTGATTGTCTTTAAATAAAGAGATTTCAAAGCAATTCACTTTTCCCCAGTGTAAAATTGTCAAATATAAACAAATAAAACAAGTTTTGTAACCAACCTACGTTTTACTTACAACTAGTTTCAGCACAAGCTGCACGTAATGCTTACATAGTTCATGCACTTTCAAATTAGGTAACAGAAAGTGACCAATAGATGAATATTACTGTAATCAGTACATAATGAGTAAAAATTAACCTGCTATTTTAATAGTCCTATCTTGTATAATAATTTTCTTTTCACTGTTGTTAATTTAAAGACTATCGAGTTATTAATCCATTGGATGTGTATTCAATAAACATGATTAAAAGACATGGTGGAATTACAAGATAAATATTTGACATTTAGTGATCTATACAGTGTTGTGATTTACATAAATCTGTAATAAATGGGACATTCAAATTTTTGAATATTTTTGTTCTTAAAGTACTATATTTTTAATAAAATCAAGAACGAATGGTTTCACCTTACATTTCCAGATAATATGGATGAATAATCTTCACCATTGAATATAACAACACTGGCCAAATGAGCCAATTTTATGCATAAGTATTGTTCTAATGAATAAAGCATGTTTACAAAACAATAAAATTCCTTTTTCCTTAAATAAATTGGTTCATAATGGGTAAATTGCTTCGATTAATTCTCTGACTGTTAACAGGAGTGAAAACAGTAAATATTTCTACTACTGTTGGGGGGGGGCAAGTTAAATTATTCAATGAAGAATTTTTGTC